GGATTCGAACCCGCGACCCTCAGATTACGAGTCAAGCGCCCTAACCACCTGGCCATGTTGGGGTGGTTAATGAAAGTGTTCCAAAACGCGACAGTAATTCCTTGACGACCTAATAATATAATAAATTTAATCCAACCAAAGTAACAAACAGCACTTTGATGCGATTCCCTAAAAAGATAAAGACAAAGTGAAGACATTAAGATGAAATTTCGCGGCTCAATCAAAACAAACTGAGGACATTTTTGAATGATTCCAGAAATGAATTAAAATAAAGTAATGACACTTTCTTACGATCCAGTCTCATTCAAAATAGTATGACGACACTTCTGTGTGATTTTGTGACTCAATGATACAAAGTGACGCCATTCCGGTGATTACGTAATTCCCTGACTCGATCAAAACGAAGTAATGACATTTCAGTGTAATTCCGCGACCCATTAGGAACAAGGTGACGATACTCCGATCGAATTCTGTGATGAATCTCAAGTTGACCCTATAGGGAAGCCCTGGTTTTTGGAGCTCGCGAGCCGAGTTCAAATCCATGTGATAGCACAAAATATCCCCCGTAATTTATGCTGTGAGTGCGTTATAAAAATAACAGTCATTCCCTTAACATGCATCGTGGATGGTAGGGTGCTACTGATGGATTGCCTTCCCTCTGGTCAGTAGTTCAAAATTAGGGACGGCGGCAGGTAGACTTGGCAGTTTTGTCATAAAATACTAAAGCCAATAGAATTTTGTAACCCAACAAAAATAAACTATAATACTTAATACGAAATCTAACTCAAAGTAAGAATACTTTGGTTTAATAATGTAGCAGAGTGGAATCTAATGCTTCATGTTCACTATAGCTAACAGCTAGAAAAAACACACTAACCTGTGACTCCAAAGTTTCCCACGTGTCCTCCAGTCTGACAATTATAGAAACCCGCTGATGGCTGCACGGAATACGTCGAGTTCTGTCCGCCTACGTGAAGTTGGCCATATGCTTGCATGCTTCACAAAACGTATAATATTTTCATAAAAAAGTGACATTATTTATTTTGCCATGCAGCTTTAAAAGATACTGTTAGATAGTAAATTCTAATTTAAACATTTTTTTTAATTTAATGTAAACTTATCTATATATTAAACGTTTAAAATGCACGTCCAACTGAAATTTATTACAGCTCGTGTTTAGCACTTACTTTTCCTTTCTAGCGTGACAAAAAAGAAATAGGTTTCTGAGTTTTAAAAAAATAGTTCGATATAAAGTTTTAGTATTACTAGAGCATTTTGTCCTCCTACCTGGTATAATATGAACCAGCATAAGTTGGTGTCTGATACTCCAAGGCCGGTAGTTTAGTAATAGGCAGTTCTCCTAAGTTAATCACAAACTTATATTGTAATATTTCATTGAGTACTTCACTTAAATAATAATTTGTAATCCCTAATCTGTAGAAGCTTATTTATCATACTTCCCTAACATATGAACATTCCTATCGTTAACGTAGATTGAGGGGGGCATGGATACTCCAGTCCCCAGATCTACTCCTGGTTGAGATAGGTTAATACTTACTGACAATTTTAAATATTTTAGAAATTGCTCCATTTAAGGTCTGTAAATGCCCTATATACAGGGCGTCGTGCTCCCCGATTCACATAGCATTACCCTATGTATTTCTCACATGCACTTTAGCCCCCCCCCCCCCATCCCAGATATCTTTTGCATCCTCTGCTTAACTAAGTTAAAGCTATACGTTTTTTATTCACTGCACAAATACGTGGTGTTTCCTACTAGTTAAGAGTTAACAAGCAGAACTGAATGACTTCTGGACTTTAACATCAACCTATGAAAGTATTTCGTGCTGGTTTACCTTAACATCAGTCCAGAGGTTATCCTAGCCGTCACTATTTACTTAGTTTCAATAGCATCATTCACCTAGTGTCAATTCACTAATAATTCTGACGTCATTGCCAGTATCAGCGTCGACTTAAGGATTGGCTCCCCAGACTCTTCCAGGGCCTATCAACAAAGATCGCTAGTTTTTGTTGTGTTTTTTTTGTTTGTTTGTTTGTTTCAGGTTATTTACATAAAGTAAAAACAAATACTGAAAGTTTACGCATGCAGTACTATAGCCTGGAATGAACAGCAATATATATATATATATATATTTAGGCCTTCAAAAATGTGATCTTCAGTAGTTATTAATTCTATTGCCATATTTTCCGTAAAAAAAACAAATACTCTACCAACTTCTCCTACTGTATATCATTACGTCCCAGTGCGACTAAGCC